TGATGCTTTACTTTTTTATAAATTTTATAGCTAACTTTGTTCCTTCTTCTCATATACTTGTTAACCCATATAATCTTATTTCATTTTATAATTTTTGCAGTAAAGGCGTCAATTATAATTCTAGAGTTCTTCATATTTAAAATTCTGGTTGCTAGACATATACCTTTCTAATTGTAATGTTGAGTTACAACTCTTGATATAGCAAAGTCTGTTCTAGTATTTGAAAGACTTATTACCTTCCAGCCACTTAACAAGCAGGTTACTTGAATGTTTCGATGTTCAACAAGATCATTAAGTGAATATCTATAATGTGAAGTATCTTTAATATATATATCAAAGTGATTACTATAAATGTATCATAATGCTTTAGCTTCTCTTTTTGCTAAATTTTCATCAATCAAATCTGTAACTAAAACATAAAAAATATCAAAACTATCAGCAAAATTAAAACTATCAACATAGGGAATATTGGCCACACATTCAACTTTTATCACCATAGTCATCTCTCTATCTCCTGATTATCCATACAATAATTAATATATGGTAGCTAACATAAAATCATATTTTATACTTTGGTGACCATTGCTTATAAAAAGTTAGTACTATTAAACTAATGCTTTTACTTGTTATCAGTTTAAACTTAAAGTACTGTGTTGACATCCAAGGTTGATTGTTAAGTGTTAAAATATACAATGGTTCACCTGATGTACCTCTAAAACTGGGTAAATATGGTAATGCAAATATTGTTGACTTTTAATTTTTTGAATTAACAAGGTGGGACATTGGGTTGTTATATATATATTATTTTTTAAATTTTGTCAGATATGCTAACAGATGAAGTCTATTCACAATTACCAAACTATATATATATAAATAATATAATAATTATTTATATATATATATATCATAGTGCAGAAATAATAATTAAAAGATATATAACCATGTGATTATCACCAATTGCAAAAAAGACATATAATATTGATCAATTGAATTTTATAAAACACATATATTTATTAATATATTTATTCATATTTATGATATTTAGAAATCACATAATTCTACATATTATTTATATAAACTATATATTTGTATTAAGGCGTGTAAAGCCAACTTACATAAATATATAAGCTTAGAGATTTTTTATATTAATACCATATTTGGCTTAAAATAGAGTTTGAGATTAATAATTTTAAAGTATATTGTTAGTTATAATATTGTTATATATATTTTTATATTGCTAAAATAATAAGCTCAATAGTCAGTCATAATTACAGAAATC